TGGACAATGTGATATGCCCTACGGGCCTTTCCATATCCTTTAATCAGGTTGGATGGCCTGAGAGAGTTGTCAGAGGTGCTTTTTTGGGTATAAAGTTAGTAAAATAGTGTCGCTCATGCAAGATGGTGTGCGTGGTAGCATTATCAGCCAGACAACTAACTTCCTCACTAGATATATCTAGAAATAAATTGATTGAATTGGTCACATGCATAAATATAATTCCATTCATTCAATTAAGCAATTTGAGAAATAATATCCATCAAATAACAATCCATAATTCAAAACAAACCAAAACCAAACAAATTATTCCAAAGACTTAAACAAATTGTCCAAAATTAAACCATAAACCTAGAAAAATAGGGGGAAGGGTTTAGCCACTCCTAGTGGGTTCGGCCACTAGGGGTAAAACACCCTAAAAACAAGTCTAAAATTTATTCGTCCATAGGAGCTGACACCTCCTGAAAATTTGATATCTCCATGGATGTAGTAGCATATTCCAGATGTTCTACATGTGCAAAGTTAGACTCACGACGAGAATGATACTTGGCAATAGCCTCGGGGGTAGCTTGGCATACACCGACCAATAATCCCTTGATCCACAGCGGTAACACATGTCCATTTCAGTGAAAGCCAATTGAAATGAAGCTTTTCCCTTGTTCTTGAAGTTTAAGGCCTTAGGGGCAAAGGGTTGGCGCTGCTGGGTCACATTTCCTCCCTTAGGTAGGCCTTTACTCTATGGACCTTGGGCCCGTGGTGGGGCTTGTCGCCTATTGCCATGGCCATGACGATTCATGCATCATTTGTGGCTGCTAGAATTGGTCTCATGCGCTTCAGGTGCATCGTTCAAGCCAGTTGGTTGAGCTTGATGATTCTTCATCAAAAGCTGGTTTTGCTTTTCAATAAGAAGTAGGACATATATCAAATCCGAAAATTTAGTGAATTTCTATACACTATATGGTTGCTGTAGGACAATATTGGTGGCATATAAGGTCGAATATGTCTTTTCCATGAGATCTGATTCAATTACTTCCACTTTATAGAACTTCAGCAGTGATCGGATTCTACAAACTTCAGAGTTGTATTCATTCACACATTTAAAGTCTTGGAAGCAAAGATGCTACCAATTGTGTGTTGCTTCAAGCAAGTAGATGTCTTTCTGGTGATCGAAGTGGTCGACCAAAGCAAGCCAGAAGGTGCATGGGTCCTCCTCAGCGAGGTACTTAGTCTGTAGAGCATCATGAATGTGTCTTCAAATGAAGATCATTGCAGTAGCTTTCTAAGCTTAATCAATGGGTTTGTTGTTGGTAGGTGCCTCGATGGTGGCTCTAATACATTTTGTAGTAAGATTGAGTTTCACGTCTTGAACCCACTTCAGGTAATTTCTTCCAGAGACTTCCAGAGCAGTGAAATCGAGCTTGTTCAAGTTCCACATGTCCCTAAAATGGAGGGTACAACAAAAACATGGTTAGTCATATGGTAATCCATAGATATACATTGTAGACATTTGGGTTCTATAGACATGTATTTGTTTAATTTATGCATGAAAACTACAGGTTTCATGTGGTAAGTTTTGAGTGAAAACTTCAAGTTTCAAAGGCACTAAATATGAAACTATAGGTTCAATTTAGTTTTATGAACGATTAGTTCATAAAGGAAATGTTCCTGTAAGAAACACAGAATGCAATATGCTGATTTAAGTGTAGTGGATTTGAGTTTCTTCGGGAACTTAAATGTGTGAGCTTCGGGACTACGAAAGTATGTCAACGGTTCAAATTATAAAAATAAATTATTGAATCGTTAATGTCCAAAAATGATCTTCAGGTCAATAATTTTGGATTCATTACTAGATTAATGGACTGCATGTCACTTTTAATTAATTCAATAGATCGGAACCAAACAGGGTTGATCGTGGAAGCAAAAATAATAATAACATTCGGGTTAAAATTATTTAAAATGCAAAAAATTAGCATTGGATTCGAAAAACCATAGCCCATTAGTATTTAGGCTGGGTGCCGTGGGTAGGGCAAAGCCCTAGAGGCTTTTGGGCTCGTGTTTGGCTGCTAAGCAACCCACAAGTGGTTGTAGGCCACAAGCTGAGAAAATTGGGTAAACCCAGCAGTTATAGCTGCTGGCATTGGGCCAAAGGGGCACCCGGGAACAAGCCTAGCCGAGGCTAGCTTATGGGTTAGCATAAGCGGGGCCTAGCTGAAGCTGGGGCCAAGTTTTTGGGTCGTGAGACAAGCCCAACCTGCAAGGCTAGCTGTGATACACGCGGGCCGAGGCAGTAGCAAGCCCAACAAGCCAAAGGCTTGTGGGTTATGGGCTTAGATTGGACCAGGGCTTCAGGCCCGTGGGTTATGCAACCCAGGTTGAGGCCTGGTTGGTTTCTAATAAGGCAACAAGCCCAAAGGGCTGTGCGCCTAATCAGGTGTCAATACGACATTGTTGTCCCCACACGGCTGGGCTTCAGGCTAGCACGTTGGTCTGGCATGGTGTCACGGTGGTGGTGCAGCGATGTCGTAAAAATCCCAGTTTTTTTATTATTTTTTTATTTTTTGTGTTTGTTTGAATTCTTTAGGGTTTGAAAAAGCCCTAACATGCTTCTAATTTATTTATATGCTTTGACTCACAAATTCCACATAGCAATAGAATTGCGTAATGCATAAAACATATATATATATGTGTGTGTGTGTGTGTGTGTGTGTGTGTGTGTATTGACAAATATATGAAACATATACAATATATATATCATAAGGAAAATATAAACATAAAGGGGTTCATGCATCATGGGGAATGTTTTCATGCTTCGTGGACGTTTCAAATATCTTCCTTTATTTTAAGTATACATGATTGATAGAAAACAAATAAGAGCATTTGAATTTTATGGAAGATAGTATTCTTCTACAATCCGTCAATTCCTCAGCTTCTGGCAAGAGCATGCTGATAATGTATTGTAGGCATATTTAACTGAGCTATTCTAGGAGAATAGAGAAAATGGGTCAGTGGTAGTAAGAGAGAGAAGAGAGAGATTTAATTGTGAAGTATGTGTTGTATCATCCCATTGTGCCCTTATTTATAGTAGTAGAATAGGTAAAATACTTACTCTTTTATGATTACAACTCTTAATAGGTTATCAACTCCTAATAGGAATATAAGATATATTCCTAGATCTATTAGGATTTACACAATCACATTCCTATTCTAAATATGACTGCAACATATTTATCTTTTTAGACACATTTTATACTTCGAGAATAAAGTGATCACCACCACCTACTACGAAACCTAACCTCTTACACCACCACTGTTGTTATCACCACCACTGTTCCCACCACAACCGCACCATAATTGCTCCGCTACCACCACTACAATAACTACCACAACCATAACTGCTACCACCACCACCACCACCATATGACAACCCCCGCCATCACCACCATAAAGCAACCACCACCACTGTCACCACAACCACAACAACAACTATCAATGTTGATGTTGCCCCTACCACCATTGTTATCTATGTAACCCAACCACTACACCTCACTATTAGCACCACTACCATCACAACCACAACCCTTGCCATTGTTGTCGTCACCACCACTCCTACTACCATGGCTATTTTTTTCATTATATACGATTATATTGTTTTTACATTAAAATTTATCAAATGTTTTGTCACTGCTTTTCATACTTACAACACTTTTAAAAGTATAGTTTATGAAAAACTCAACTGCTTTATTTTATAGCTGATTATTTTTAAAGCACATTAGAAAACAGTTTTTTGATTTATTTATTAAAGTAGATCAATCCCAAAGCCCTTAGTTAAATTGACTATAATAGTGTCTTGCATTTTGATCACCCAAGTTAGAATTTCTTGTTGAAAAAACAATTCAGAATATAAATAATAACAGAAATTGGAAAATAATCGAATCTTTATTATTGAAATACTTAACAATACAGAATGAAAATCATAATATAGTTATGGAAACAAAAATGATACTAACTTGATTGATTGAGGCTAACAATGCCTTGTTATTCGAACAATATTTTCGTCTCACTCTTGTGTTTGTAGTTCAATGACGTCTGCCTGACCAAGATACAACTATCAAATCCTATAATCTGCTGCAATTATAGAATTATGGCAAATTACTTTGTGTGTTTATTCTCTGAAAGTTTATGTACGAGAGAGAAGGAAAAGAAGTAGAAGATGATGATTGAAGAATAATGACGAATTGCTTTATCTGTTTACTCATATAAGAGACAACCTAATATAAAGCCTATTGGAGAACTTGGTTTCCCGATGTGGGACAATTGAGGCACAAAGCTTCAACATTTTCGTCTCCCGTAACATAGATGGATTAATTTAAAGGAAACTAATGAAAATGACTTGAAAACTTTAAGTTTTAACAATAAGGACAAAGTAAAGGGTAAAGTGAATATTACCATAATTAACTTTTTAGTGTAAAAATGTGATTTTTCGTTAAAGTGAACAGTACATAGAGTTGTTTTATTAAAGTTCCCTTAATTTAAATTATCATGTCGTTAGTAAAAAAACGAATTTATGTTTAAATGTAAAATCGAATGTTATATTTAAATGTACATCATATTTTATTTACATAATTTTTTTTTCTTCTGAACAAACGATATTATCTACATTAAGGAATAAGGTAAAAAGAATGTGGTTCCAATTTGCCTTTGGCGAAAATGAAATCTAAAACGGGTGGAACGTGCTGTTCTACGGGACGAATTTTGAGTGAATTTTCATTCCGCCTCACCCTCAAGAAACGACTCGTTCCACATCCGTGGAACACAAAATTATAACCTCTCCGTCTCATTCTTCTTCTTCCTTGTTTCCATCCGTAAGCATCTTTGCTTCCTCTCCATTCCGTTTTGTCCTGTCCCGTCCCGTTCCGTTTCGTCTTGTCTGCATACCAAACAATACCTAAAATCCAAACCAAAAATAAAAAAGAAATCCACGTACTCTGCTTATATAAAACCGGTTTCTCTCTAGGCCTCACCCTTCCTCTCATCTACGATTTACGACCGGAAAACGGCTCGCTGTTACTTTGATCTGCGCGAAGAAAGCCGTCGATCTTCTCCGACTCGATTCACCGATCAGCAAAGATGAACGACGCAGATGTCTCCAAGCAGATCCAGCAGATGGTGAGGTTCATCCGCCAAGAAGCTGAGGAGAAGGCCAACGAGATCTCTGTATCTGCTGAGGAAGTACGTCTCCCAATTCTCCTGTAACTCCCGCATTTTTCCCCAATTCTTACATTTCTGAAACCCTAAATTCGATCTTAATCTTGATCCAATTTACTGGAAATCATTTTTCTTTGTGTGTATAAGCTTAAGTCGAGTGTTAGGGTGTTTTTGTGTTGTTTTTTTGTTGTTGTAGGAATTCAACATTGAGAAGTTGCAGCTCGTCGAGGCGGAGAAGAAGAAGATTAGGCAAGAATATGAGAAGAAGGAGAAGCAAGTCGACGTCCGAAAGAAGATGTATGGTTACTTGAATCTTCCTAATTCTGTTTATATTATCTCAATTGGTATATTTATCTCCTTGTTTTATGTTTTTATGGTTGAAACGAATGCGCTTTCTGCTGTTTGGTTTTGAATATTAGTTACTGGTAGGTTGAATTCGGATTGGGAAGTTAATGTGCATGGTGTCGAATACGTTAGTGAAATCGATAGTTTGGAAGTGGCAAAGATAGTTTCTTTCGTTGATTTTATGGATTTCGATGAAAATCGAGGTATTTGGTTCGAAATTAAGTTGAAATTTGAAAATGAGTTGATTATTATGAGAGATCTTATTGTCATGAATTGGATGTGTATGAAATGATTGTTGAATTTTAATGATCCTGAATATTATGTGCTTATTGTTTTAGAATTTTGGGAAACTAGATTAGCTCATAGGGTATTGAGCTAGGTAAGGAATTGGGTAGAACGAAGTTCAAATCTTATCTTAAGTAAAACGAGTTCTGTTTCTGCGGGGTTCAATTTGGGTTGTTTGATGGAAGGCTTTCCCTTTGTTTTTCTTTTCCCGGCAATGCACGAATGCCACCTATGTGAGTAAGTAACAATTTTTTATTGGTTTGTTGCAGTGAGTACTCCATGCAGCTCAATGCTTCTCGTATTAAAGTTCTTCAGGCTCAAGATGATGTGGTTAACTCCATGAAGGAGGCAGCATCCAAGGAGCTTCTGAATGTGAGCCGAGATCACCATGCGTACAAAAAGCTTCTGAAAGATCTTATCGTTCAGGTCTGTTGTACTACTCATGTAGTTGTCAAGGTTAACCTGCCTCCCCAGTTTTTATGTGAACCTACAGAACTATCTGCCGGTGGAAATGGCTTGAGTTTAATGTATAATTCAGGGTGATGATTTCATATCCTTCATTTAGAAGAGATTGCTGTTTCTATCTATAACACACTTTCATGGATAAATTAATGATTAGGTTTGGTTTACTGAGAATTATGATATTTTTATTTTTGTTGCAGAGTTTGCTTAGGCTGAAAGAGCCTGCTGTTTTGTTACGTTGCCGGAAGGACGATCTACATCTGGTGGAGTCTGTTCTGGAATCAGCAGGACGGGAATATGCAGACAAAGCAAAGGTTCATTCACCTGAGATTATAGTGGACACTACTGTCTTTCTTCCACCTGCTCCTACCCATCATAATCCCCATGTTTCTTCCTGGTATGTTTCTGTAGTTATATATTTAAACCTAATATAGTTTGGAAATACATGAGTTTTTGTACCGAGTCACGGGCTTTCTAGCTTCTGGATTTAGTCTGCCTTGCTAATGTGTAGCTTATCAAACAGTTGGTTATTGAGAGAACGTAAATGATGGAACCTGCTGATGATAATTTGTTGATTGTTCAGTTCTGGAGGTGTGGTCCTGGCTTCTCGGGATGGGAAGATTGTGTGTGAGAACACCCTTGATGCACGATTGGATGTTGTATTCCGTAAAAAACTTCCAGAGGTATTTTCCTTTCAAAGCATCAATTGTATTTTTGTAGTAGTTCACTTTATTTTCATTGCAAAGGATTTTTATGCAATTTTGGCACTATTTTGTGTCGGTTTGTGTAACCATGCTTCAACTGAGCTTCTGATTCTTCTCTTTACAGATCCGCAGAAAGCTCTTCGGTCAGGTTGCTGCATAAATGGGATGATGAATTGGTTTGTGTTTTAATTTTCCACCCTAAATTATGTGGCCTTGAGATTAAGATACCGGTCATGGACCAGCGGATCTGTTTTCCAATTCGATTGTGTATTTCGATTTTCTAGTTCTCTGAATAACGTTGTTATATGTGGGTAAAAATAGCTTTAGCTGTTATTTGATTTGGTGTTCATATCGTCTGGGGCATATTGCAAATGTACTCATTCTGGTTGGTAATGAGATGATTTTAATAAAAGTTTGCAGCTTGTTAGAGCATTATTAGGTTTTAAATTTGTTTAATTAATGTGATGAATGGGAGATCACGTGAGCTGTCACGTGAACCATATCTGTTCTTTTTCGGTATATTAATTTCAAGATTATGTCGGTGACCAATATTTTGCTGTCGTTTTGTGTTTTATTGTAACACGAAGTCATGGACCATTGCAATTACCTGTAAAATGACAAAATGTTGCCTTCTTGTACTCTGTTGTCGTTATTATTGTTAAGTTTACCCTCACGAATTTCCCTTTTGATTTCTAAGCTTAACGGGTTGGATGAATCCCGCTCGAACGGTTCAATACTTAGCACCGGAAAAAGTGAGTGGGTTACAAAACTCTATAGAATTGTATTTTATGATAGGCGGAGGCGGGAAAATTGAGTGTGATATCAATTTATTGAACTGAGTTCTATATTAAACTCATGTGTTCAATATATCAAGCTCATAAGTGTTATACTAATATATTGAGCTTACACTAGTGTAGCAGTAGTGTGATAGATATACAAAAAATTTACAAGATATACAAAAAATGTACCTAAATCCGCCTAGGCGACGCCTAGCCGCCTAGGCGCTAGGCGCTAGCCCGCCGCCTGATTAGCGCCTATCGTTTTTTAGAACCTTGCTATTTCCATCTAAAAAGGCTAAATATAGCCATGTTCATAATTATAACCGTGCAAAAGATTATTTTAAATTAACAGTGTCATGCCATACTTAGACCATCTCCAACCGAATGGTCGTCGAAAATAACCCTTGTCTCCAACTGAGGGTCAGGCCAAATAGCTTGTGGGCCCCATTGGGCAAAAAAAGACCAAAGGGTCAACCGACCGGCTATCTTCAGCCAGCCCGCTGGCTAGCCTTTTTTTTTTTTTTTTTGTTCTTTTCCATTTGCCCAGCCCACTTTAGGGTTTAGGGTTTAGGATTTTGTTTTGTCCTAGCCCCTTTTTTTATGTTTTTTTTTTTAATTTCTAATTTTTTTTCCTACACTATTTCTCACATATTTTTCACCATTCCATACTATCTTACCTTATTTTATTTCAATTCTTCACATTCCATACTATAGTCTTTTGACTCTCGTTTGGAGATGATTTTTTTATCACAGGGCTATGTTTGGCCTATGACCCTTTGGCCTCTCAGTTGGAGATGGTAAGAAATATGGTCATGCACTGTTCATTAAAATATTAATTTCTTGGATGGCTAGATGGCTAAAACGAGTCCTCTGGCCCTCATTCAGTTGGAGATGGTCTAAGAAATATGGACTACACTGTTCATTAACATATTAATTTATTGGAGGGCCATAGAGATGGTCTTAATACTTTAAGTTTATTGGTTAATGTACTCAAACTTTCGTTGAATGTTTTTCAAATCTAGCTGTAGACATCGAAATTTCGGTAAATAAATGTTGACCGATAAATCAAAATTTCAACGCTCATGTATTACATAAATTTTATATGTAGCGTGTGTCTAAACAAAAAATCGAAATAAGTTGGAAAAGTCATCAAACAGGACACGTGTCAACACCTGGAAGAAACGACTTATTTCATCTGGAATATTATATTCAAAATTAGGCCTTGGAAATTTCTATAAATAGAAGGCTAATTCATTCATTTGAGGGGAGGAATTCATATTACACCTTGAAGCTCTGAAGCTCTGAAACTCTGAAGCTCTCAAGCAAATCCCGAAGAATTAAGAAAGCCCTTTTCGTTCTTCATCAAATCCTTCTTCAAGATCAAGTCCCGACGGCCCTTGAAGAAAGCTCTCTTCGTTCTTCGTTCTTCGTTCATCGTTCTTCCAAGATCAAGCCCCAACGGCCCTTTGGATCAACAATCATCTACTGTTCTTCCAAGATCAAGCCCCGACGGCCCTTGGATCAACAATCATCCGCCAATTCAAGATCAACCCCCAACAGCCCTTTGGATCAACAATCATCCACCGTTCTTCCAAGATCAAGCCCCAATGGCCCTTGGATCAACAATCATCCACCAATTCAAGATCAAGCCCCGACGGCCCTTGAAGAAAGAGTTCTTCGTTCATCGTTCTTCCAAGATCAAGCCCCGACGGCCCTTGGATCAACAAGCCACCGTTCTTCAAGATCAAGCCCAAAAGCCCTTGAAGATCCGTTCATCACTCATCCTCAAGATCAAACCCCAACGACTCCTTGAAAATCCGCTCAAATCCATCTTCAAAGATCAAGCCCACGGCCCCTTGAAGAAACTTCCAACAGTTCATCCAAGATCAAGCCTCGACGGCCCTTGGATCAATCAAACATTCACAAATTAACACCTTACGGAGATCGAATCAGAGGATCAAAATAGAGAGATTGTAACCCAAAATCATCAAAATACAAATATTTGTTTGTGCACGTTGTTCTTGTCTCTTTCCTTTCAAGAATTTTTCGTGTTCACAAATTGGCACGCCCGGTGGGATCATCTCTACCTCTCATCTCTTTCTCCGTTCAAGAAATTCGAGCACACTTCCAAAATTAATGGCATCAAGGAAGGCTCAAACTGTTCCCGCAACTGGCACAAAGAACAAGAGCGTCCTCGTCGTAAGTGGTGTCACTTTAGGCATCACGACTCGAAGCAAGGCAAGAGCTACTACTGCCGCCTCTTTCACCTCTGCATCAACTCTGCCAAGGGAACAAGAGCACCCAAGGCACGAGCCTTTGATCACCTTAGCCTCACCAAAGGCACCAAGGGGTGAAAGTCCAAGGAAATACTCCAAATCCATGCTCTCCGATGCCGATTCGAGCGGCAGTTCAGCCATGCAAGTCATGACCATTGGAGCAACTTCAATCGATGAGCAGCTGGCTCAAATGAATGAAGCAATCGCAAGGCTAACCCGAACTGTGGAAGAAAAAGACTTGCAAATCGCTGCACTCGTCAGCCGACTGGAGCCACAAGACGGCGATAACCCTAAACCAGAATATGAGCCTACGGTGGAGAGAATCGATGCGAAGCCGGAGCCAGACCAAGCAGCAGCACTCATGGGATCTCTTTCTATCTAGCAGCTGCAAGAGATGATCACCAACACCATCAAGGCACAGTACGAAGGGAGCTCAAACACCTCCGGGTTGTACTCGAAGCCGTATTCAAAGAAGATCGACGCCTTAAGGATGCCGAGGGGTTATCAACCGCCAAAGTTCATGCAATTTGATGGAAAGGGAAACCCGAAACAACACGTCGCCCACTTTGTTGAAACTTGCAACAACACAAGGACCGAAGGGGACTACCTCGTCAAGCAGTTTATGCGCTCGCTGAAAGGAAACGCCTTTGAGTGGTACACAGACCTAGAGCCTGAGTCCATCAACAGCTGGGAGCAATTGGAGCGGGAATTCCTCAACCGCTTCTACAGCACCCGCCGCACTATGAGCATGCTAGAGCTAACGAGCACAAAGCAGTGGAAGGACGAGCCAGTCATTGACTACATCAACAGATGGCGCACTCTAAGCCTCGACTGTAAAGACAGGCTTTCAGAAACCTCTTCAATCGAGATGTGCATCCAAGGCATGCAATGGGGTTTGCAATACATTCTTCAAGGCATTAAACCACGGACCTTCGAGGAATTGGCCACTCGCGCCCATGACATGGAGTTAAGCATCGCCCATCATGGGAAGAAGGAACCGATCGCCGACTACAAGAACGACAAAGTTCTTAAGACAAAGGTGGAGAAGACTGCATGAAACCCACCAAGGAAGCGATGACGGTCAACACATCTCCCGTCAAAATCCCTATACGAGGCAAGGCGATTCAAGCTGAAGCTTTTCGTGATTAAGAGATATGTAGACGCACTTTGAAAGAGCTTGAAGAGAAAACTTATCCATTCCCCGACTCTAATGTGGTTGCCATGTTAGAAGACTTGCTGGAAAAGAAGGTGATCGGCTTGCCTGAGTGCAGACGGCTAGAAGAGATGAATCGCACCGACAGTCCAAGGTACTGTAAATTCCACCGCTTCATCAGTCATCCGACAGAAAAATGCTTCGTGATGAAAGATCTCATCATGAAGCTGGCCCAGAAAGGAATCATCGAGCTAGATCTTGACGATGTGGTGAAGTCAAACTATACCACCATCACTTCTGGCTCTTCCTACTCAAAGTTTTTACCTCAACCTCCGGGGGGCATCCTCCAAGACAAGCAAAGTTGAAGGATGGACTCAGGTCACTCCTAAGAAATTGCACAAGAAGCATATGTCTCCTCCACAAGTCCGCCAATCAGAAAGGGGGCAAAGCAACTATTGTCAACCTTCAAAGTAACGTGAACGTGTTGAAGATGATGAAATTGCGACACAAAGATCGTCAATTGCCATCACAATGCGCGATTTCTTTCCCGAAGACTTCTTCAATCACTCGGTCAAGGCTCCTTGCTATGAATATTGTGAGGAACGCCTCTCCAAAATTACTTGACAAATTCACCAATGCTCCTTGTTCGCACGAGTTTAAACTGCACGAACCAAAGCTCCTTGTCTGTAAGAGCCTAAACTACAAGACACAAGGCTCCTCGCCTGCACGAGCCTAAACTGCACGGCACTAAGCTCCTGGTTTGCACGATCATAAAAGGCAACATCAACACTCCTGGTCTGCACGAGCATAAAAGGCAACACCAAAGCTCCTGGTCCGCACGAGCATAAAAGGCGACAACAAACACTCCTTGCCTGCATGAGTTAAAACTGCAAACGGCACCAAACGAAAATACCAAGAAAAAAAAATGTATTTTGAACTACGTTATGACTTGATCTCTTCTTTGGAAGTGTACGTAGGCAGCTTGAAAATTCAAATTCGAGTTCAGTCACATCAAAATAAAGAATAAGAAATTTTATTAAAAGTTTGATGTTATTACAATTTCTTTGTACCAAAAAAAAAAAAAAAAACTACAGCTTAAAAAAATAAATATATATATATATGCCTTAGAAGCAGATCAAATAACATTTGCAATTCCAGCAGGCCCAAGCCTTCCTCCATTTCACAACCGTCGGATCCCATGAAAAGGCCCAAGTTCTCTCTCAACTTGACAACCCATCT